TAATTTTATTTTAATATATTTGTAATTATTTATTTTAATAATTTCTTATTTATGTGACAGGTTTGTGTAAGACTTGTACCTATCACCATAAAAGTTCATCTAAATTCTTAGTTAAGGTTAGCTTAATAAATGGATCCTTACACCACTTATGGCCACAAGTCCAAGCTTGACCTATGGTTGTAAGTTCTATTTATGGCTACAAGTCTTAGATTGACCTGTGGTTGTAAGTGCTATTTTTAATCATAGTTCCGTTATGACTTGTGATGAAAAGTTTTCAATTACTATCATATAATCTTTTATTACACACCATTTTTTGTAGTAAAAAATGGCTTTTAACTATGACAAGAAGTACTTTTTGTACTAGTGATGGCCAAAAAAGCACACGCTAATGGTCAATGTTGGGGATTTGTTGATTTTGAGCTAACATTATTTTGTTTTGAAAAGTCAAGGGAGACACTGCACTTTTTAAAATTTTAAGATATTAATTGCACCTCTTAAAAAAGTTTAGTGATAGATTTGTACCTTAATCTTTCTGCATTTGACATTTATGCCTAAATATTTAAGTTTTGTGGTCTTGATAACCAATTTTCCCTCGATGCTGACTAAACTTAGCTTTAATCAACTACGTGAAGCACAAATTAGTTTAGTTATGCCAACGACAAGTTACCTCAATGGCAACACCACCTTCTTGTGGGCATCATCCAAGGTTTAAACCTTGCTTTGGCACCTGAGTTGCCTGTTTAAATTGATTACTTAAAAAAATAGGTTTAGCTAAGGTAAAATGTCAGAAAATTTGGAGTGCAAGAAATATAATATCGGGGTTCGTTTCATGCATATATATATTTTTTGATCTCACTTTCATCCATACATATATACTTCGACTCTTCTGCAAATATGTCAATTTCTTTCCAGTTGTACATCACTTAATTTACTGTAAATCGAGATATTTTTGTGTGTCTGTCGTGGCGTTCATGTCCCTTTTACGATATTTTGTAGTTGTAGCCCATCCCACAAAAACACAAGTATATTTGAAATTATTATCATCTTGTGTGATGAGCAACTAATTAATATGTCTCCCAATGCATTGGTATATGTAATTATGACAAATTCATGGTGTTATATATATATATATATATATATATTTCACGTTTTTTGATTTCATCATAAACAAACGTTTTAAGTATACACAGCAAGTATATATATTTTAAAAAAATTAAGCAAAAAAAATAAGTGATATATAACAAAACACCAATAAGTCAGGGATATAACCAAATAGGGTATTATAATTTATAGGATTAAAGTCCAATTTTACCTTTGTACTTATTTTTTTAGGAGTGTTGGATATCTTATACTCTTAAGTGGGATAATTTTACCTTTAAACTATTTTTTTGACTAGCATAAAATTTCCTTGTTAATGAACCGTTAACTCTGCCGTTATATGCTGACGTGGCATATGCATGGGGTCCACACATAATAGCATGTAAGACTTTGATCATGTTCTTTGGCACTAATTTGTTCCTGAACTCTTTTTCTAGCAGTGCTAAACATTCTAAAATATTTTTTTAGGAGTGTTGGGCACCCTGAAGTCTTGTTAAAATAAAATTTAATAAATATTATTAAAATACTAAGTATTTGAATATTTAATAATTTAAATATTATTATTTAAAACATTACAACACCCAATTTAATATTTTAATATTTTATAATTTTATATTAAAAATGAAGGGAATGAACCTCTAAATTAACAAAGAGATTTTTTCTTCTTATCTCTCCATTCTTTCTTGTTAAGTAACTTTTTTTGTAGCACGTTAATGGAATAAAAAATATTTTTTAAATAAATATTTTTGTTATCATCTTGTCAGTCCTGATTGTCACATTTTTTTTATTTTACTCCTAACACTATAACGTATAAAGAGTATCAAATTTGGATAGTGTAATATTTTGAAGAAAAGATCATTAGTTGACTAAAAAAATTAAAGAACTTAACTAATATTAAAAATATAAATAAGTTTTGACATGCACAAAAAGCATATCAAGCATGGCATTGTCTTAGAAAGAAGATAAAAAATTGATATATAAAAAATAAAAAGTCATTTATAAATTTTGAATTAATATTTATAAATAGTAATATTTAAATTATTAAATATGAAAATATTTAATATTTTGGTGATATTTATTAAATTTTATTTTAATAAGATTTTAAAGTACTCAGTGCTCCTAAAAAAAACTTTAAGGTGTTTAGCGCTCCTAAAAAGAGAGTTCAGAGACAAATTAATACCAAAGAATATGTTCAAAGCTTTACTTGTCATTGTGCCCACTTAAAAGTATAGGATGCCCAACATTCTTAAAAAGTAAGTACAGGAGAAAAATTTGACCTTAACCCTAATCTATGACTGTCATTCCCCATGTCACTAAATATATGTTTTGTCATACGTGTTTAGTTTTCAGTTTATATTTAGCAAAAATATATTTGGAGGATCAATTATTTATTAAATTTGGCAAAAGCACATTTCAAATGTAATTCAAATGTCCTTTGGAGATCTATTCAAACAAAATTTGTTATTTCCTTCTCTCTAATTATGAATTGTTCCAAATTTTCTTCCTCATGAAATTATTTTTTTCATGATTACTTTTTGCCAAAATTTTCAATTGTCAAGAACTCAAATTCACTTGTTAATTAGGATCACCCTTATGGTGATGAGCACGGAATGCAGGTATGTTAAATTTGGTTCACATAATATGTTCATGGCATATTTCATTATATTCACCCCAATTTAAACCTTATTACTTAATTTTTATTTTTTAAAGGTAACAGATTTCTTATTTTATAATTCTTATTTTGATATATATATATATATATATATGTATGTATGCATGCATGCATGCATAATGATTGAAATATAATTAAAAGTAACAAAAATTGAACCTAGGAAAAGTTTTATACAGATTTAATATTAATTATAAAATCATACAAAGTTGTATCAAAAAATTTAGGAAAAGTTAATTTGAAAGTCTTTATAATTTTACTTGATTTTGAATTAGATCTCTATGATTTATTTTATTTTGATCAAGCCCTTATAATTTGATTTATTATATATATATTAACCTTTAGAGGTTAAAATTAACAATGAATTATTAAATTGCACAAAACAAAAATATTCTTGGAGTTTACACAAAATTTAATTTAATATTTTTAGCCAAAATTTAAAAATAATATTTAATTTAATACATTTTTTACATTTTTATAATTTTTTATGAAAATTATATATGTATAAAAATATTTAGATGATAACCTAATTAAATAAATTTTAAATTATAAAAATTATGTAATTAATTTTTAAAATAAATAATCATTTAATAAAAATGTAAAATAGCTTAATTTAAAAAAATAAGGATTTTAATCTTGAAGGATTAACAAAATTTAATTAATTTAATTATAAAAATTTAATTAAAATTAAATGAATTATAAGAATCTAATTTAAAATTAAAAAAAATTGTAAAAGTTTGCAGATATATTTTCTTAAAAATTTAATATTCCACTATCCAATCTCTTTATATTATCCCTTATTTGCATAACGCCCCTTGCCAACCTCACTCTTCCTCCGCACTCTCTGCATAATCATCCAATTCTAAGATTAAATTTGGATTAGACTAAAAATAAAAAATTTCTTAAAATTATTTTATAATTTTGATAATTTTTATTTTAATAAATATAATATATTATAATACATCAAACTTGGACCATCTAGATTAAAATTTGGATGGTCTAAATCTCATCTTAAGGATGAGATGAACACATGGTGCTCATCTTTGAGATGAGTATACAAATTGATCCCTCCAATTTTATTCTCTCTATGTCTTGAAAATACTTGACAAATATCAATTGTCAAGCATCTTTGATTAGGAATTGATTCCACTTTCCCACTTTTCAACTCCTTTGGATTGATGGTTGGAGTGGAGCCAAAAAAATTTATTAAGGGAGCCGAGATGATAAAATATATATAATAATTAAAGAAAAGTTACACACACACAGACAATAAATATTTTAATATATATTTATATTTAATTTTATACATATATAACAATATATATATATATATATATAAAGTTTTGCTATCAATTTTTTATGGTATAAAAATCACTAATTATTATATATATGATAGTTGTTTTAGCAATTTCCTTCTCAATATGAATTGTTATTAAATTGATAAAAATTTTATCATCCCTATGAGCATTAAATAATTTAAATACATTATTAAAATTTAAAATGTTATTTAATGTAATAAGCTATATTACTTATTTATTAAATTTACTATTTAATTTTTCAATTAATAATTGTAGTAAACAAATATATCACCAACACATTAATAATGTTCAATTGTTATAAAATTTTTATATCAATGAAATTAAATTATATTAAAGTAAAAACCATTCATATCATAAATTTTAATTGCTTTGATTATTTTAAAAAAAGTAATTTTTTTAGAAGAATATCTTTACCAAACCTCTTAACTTTTGGATAATTTATCAAGCAAATAGCATTCAATGTATCTTGAAATTTTTGTTGCAATACTTAACAAAGTTTATTAATAATAATCCTCATATTTTATTACATTAAATATAAAATGAAAGCAAAATAAAATAATATCAATACTTTAAGAGCATGTATAGTATTATTTTATTGAAAATGTGACAATCATATTTTCAAACTATTAAAGTAGTTACTTTATATTTATGTAAAAAACTATATATATAATTAAAATAAAAATTTTATTTAATATTTTATAACTTTTATAATCTGATAATTTAAGGGAATCGAAAATATATAACATCTATATTTTATTAAAAAAATTAGAGCGGTCCTTGTCCCCCTTCTCTCCAGTTGATGGAAATGCATGCTAATTCTCCAATACTGTCTTTTCATGTTGACTAGGGACTGATTTCTAGTTTATATGCAGTTGTTAATGGGCTTCTTAAATTTTATCCTTTGAGAAGCTGAAAGTTGTTTTTTTGGCTTCAATAATGGCATTAGCTTCTCATCCAAAAGTGATTTTGGGTTCATTTGCCTTTTTAATCTTCTGGGTGTTAGCAGTTTTCCCTTCTTTGCCTTTCCTTCCCATAGGCAGAACTGCTGGGTCCCTTTTAGGTGCCATGCTTATGGTCATCTTTCAAGTTCTATCTCCTAAACAAGCTTATTCCGCGATCGATCTAGAAATTCTGGGTCTTCTTTTTGGGACAATGGTTGTGAGTGCATATCTTGAGAGAGCAGACATGTTCAAGTACTTGGGCAAGCTACTGTCATGGAAAAGTAAAGGGGCCAAGGACTTGCTTTGTCGAATCTGTTTGATTTCTGCTATCTTAAGTGCTCTCTTCACCAATGACACCTCTTGTGTTGTTTTGACTGAATTTGTATTGAAAGTGGCAAGGCAGCATAATTTGCCTCCCCATCCATTTCTCCTCGCCCTTGCTTCAAGTGCTAATATTGGGTCCTCTGCAACACCAATAGGGAATCCCCAAAATCTGGTAATAGCTGTTGAGAGTGGCATATCATTTGGTGAATTCTTGATAGGGATTCTTCCTGCTATGCTTTTGGGGATTGTCGTGAATTCTCTGATTCTTCTGTCCATGTATTGGAAGGTACTGTCTACTCATAAGGATGAAGAAGATGTTGCTGTACAAGTTGTAGCAGAAGAGGACGTCAATTCTCATAGGTTTTCTCGTGCCACAATGACTCACTTGACATCCTTCACCTCCCAGGAATCGAACCATTTAGAGTCTGCTGCCGTTCCAGACTCTCCTCAGCTTCAGAGTCAGAGAAACAGCGGAAGCTCAAATGAAGTTCAATGGGTCTCCAACAACGCGGTTGATTCTGAAAGAAACTCAAATGGGTTAAAGGATGAAATGGATGGCTTGAATTCCCAGAGAAGGGAGGAAAATAGTCATTCCATGGCTGTTGAAGTGGCACATAGACCAAGTGATACAAACTTTTTCGAAGGAAATGAATATTTAAACCCAAAATTGAAGCGCGTACTCTGGAAAGCTTGTGTTTACATTATCACATTGGGAATGTTAGTTGCTTTGCTTTTGGGAATGAACATGTCATGGACTGCAATTATTGCTGCACTTGCTTTGATCGTTCTTGAATTCAAGGATGCTAGCACAAGTTTAGAGAAGGTAAAGGCTATAACCAGCAAGAAACAGTACAAGCTACACTTTATTTGACTCTTGAATAATTGCTTAGAACTAATTTTACCCCTTGGAACAGGTTTCATATTCACTTTTGATATTCTTCTGTGGAATGTTTATGACAGTAGATGGCTTCAATAAAACCGGAATTCCAAGTGTTTTCTGGGACCATATGGAGCCCTATTCTAAAGTAGATAGTGCAAGTGGAATAGCAGTGCTTGCCATAGTCATACTTGTCCTCTCAAATGTGGTTTCAAATGTACCAACAGGTGCGTTGACAAATTTTCTTCCACTACTTGTTCTGAAAAGAAAACTATTCTCTCTTCAGTCTTCGCAGCCGCGGAAAAACGAAACTCAGAGACTGTGTGTAAGCTGTAATATAATGTAGCAGTTGTTTTATACTTAACTGATACGGTTTTTTATGAAACATATAAAAGGCATTTTGATCTTGTGCACATGCATATATATGAGAAGTTAATGTAGCGTTGTTATTTGATATGCATAGTTCTGTTGCTGGGAGCCAGGATTGCAGCATCAGCAGCTGCAATCTCTAGTGAAGAAGAGAAGAAGGCATGGCTCATCTTAGCATGGGTGAGCACGGTCGCAGGGAACCTATCCCTTTTGGGATCAGCAGCGAACTTGATAGTGTGCGAGCAAGCTCGCAGAATACCAGACCTTGCTTACAATTTGACCTTTTGGAACCATCTAAAGTTCGGTCTCCCTTCTACTCTTGTGGTCACTGCCATTGGTTTGACCCTCATAAGATGATAAACGCTTCATATATATGACTTTTTTTTTTCTTTTAGATATATTTATCTAGGATCTGATGTTATTAGGTCAGATTTGAGTATTGTTAGATTCAATTAAGGTTTAAAGTTTCAACTTAAAAGAAAATTAAGTCATTTCCACTTGATCTAATCACCGGTGGTGGTTTGCATATATGAATTAGTCTCTATTTTGTTTCAATATAAATCAGAAAGTCAAAGTGTAAATATTTGTTAGGTAGGTTCATGAATACTGAGTGGACTAGTTTCAAATTATATGTTTTCGAAGTGTAAGAAATTTCCTATGGCTTGAGTATGTCCTTTGAAAAGCATAAATGCAAAGTATATATGTTCATTAAAAGAAATAAAATTACTACAAAGTAGTCTACTTGAGTTAAGGAATAATGAAGGGGGATTAGCGTATATTTTCAAAAAAGTAGAAGGGATATCATATAATTTGAATATATGACAAAAAATAAAGTAATTTGATCTTATAAAAAATAAAGTAATTTTTTTAAAAATACCTATCTTAAAAAACTTAAGTAAAAAATAAATGATAAATAACAAAACACAAATAACTCAAGGATATCATATAACCATACAAGGTATTATAACCGTCATTCAACATGTCACTTTTCCTTTGATGGACATGACAATACATTGGAATATATGCAACCGGCTACATGTTTTGTCCAATTTCTTATTCCCTTCTATACAACATGTCTGATACAGTGATACCCATATAGGGAATGCAAAAATCATGGACCGATATATAAGAACGTTATCTCTGAAAGTCTACTGTCAATCAGTTCTTTGAATCATGGTAAAGTGAGTAATTTGGCTCCAGCATCCATGAAATTGCTTGCATTTGATCTATTAAAGGATCAATTTCTTGCTACTGATAACATATAGGAGATCAACCAAGCACTGCAGTTGCCTAATCACATGACGGAATTGGTAACACGCCCCGTGGAGATAGACGAAACCTTCAAGAATGTTGTTTACTGTGGCTGTCATGCATACTTTTCTGATGTTGGCTAAAGGTTTTATTGTGTAAGAATGTTTGAAACTAGTGGAATGTAATGAATTTGTTTGCGATGTTAGACTAAAAGTAGTGGAATATAAAGTGGGTAGATGGGCCACTTTTATTTCAATCTATGGAACCATTATTATGGAATGAGGATGAGCTTTGTTGTTACTTTCTTTTGTCATTTTTACTGTCACATTCTTCTTTATGTTTTTGTTTCTTTATTTAATTACATGTTTTTTGTTGTTGTCACTTGATATGATATGTATTACATATACCCAAACAAAATTGAACATACATATATATATATATACACATATATATATTTTCATATTGGTGCTGCACAAAAGTTGGTCATGCGCGAAATGCAAGATCCCATTGTTGCTGTCATTTATAAAACTGGCTGCCATATTGTATAAATTAATAGATTTAAATCATCTGAAGTTGAAATTGATAAATTTAGATGAAGTTTTTCTCTTTTAGTATTTTCATTCATTTTATTATTTTTTATGAAATATAAAATATTGTCTCTCTTTCTTGAAAAGGAAAACTTTAAATTTACTAATTCCAACTTCAGAGAATTTAAATCTTAAATTAATACCATCCAAGGTTATATGAAACTTGTAAACACTAGTTGCACAGTATGATATTGTACTGTCATATGTTGCTATCATATATAATTTCAAAAGCTGTTCAGTTTTTTTCTTTTGCTGCCACAAAATATATAAAACAAAAAAATATGAACACTTGCTTGAAGGTGAGAAGCAGCAATAAGTTTTATTGCCCAATTTGATAGTAAGTTTCATAATCTAATTTGACAGAAAGAGTATATTGTTATTATGACAGCAACTTTCATTTTATTTTATTTCATGACAGCAAGTATACCTACAGCTGTATATATAAAGAAACTTTCATTTGTTTTGATTTTGTGACAGCAAAGATATTTCGTGACATCAAGTATATATGTTCATATTGTTTTGACTCGGGATAGAAAAATCTCACATGAATTGAACAGCAATAGTAACAGAAAATGACAATAGAAACAAAGCCAATCTTCAATAACAGCAACAAATTTTATCCCACTAGGTGAAATTAGTTATATGGATTGTATGACGTCATTGTACTATATTATTTAACAAGCTTTTAAGAATATTGTTAATTAAGATCTCAATCAACAACTTTCATAAGTATTTTCTTTGACCTTTCTCTATCCCTCTTAATGAAAATTATCCGTTCAACTATTTTTACTGATGTCTTCCACAATCTTCTTTACATAAGTCTAAACCATTTCAAATAATTTTCTACTATTTTTTCCTTTATTGGTGTTACACCCACTTTTTTTCACATGTGCTAATTTCAGATTTTATTCTTATGTGTATGCTCACATGTCCATCTCAACATTCCCCTATTTACTACTTCAACTTTATGCTCTTATTGTTCCATTAAAGCCTAACATTAGTTGATTTTATAATAATTTAATAAAACTTTTTTTTAAATTTATTAGTACTTTACGATCATAAATAACTCATTTAACCTTTCTCCAATTAAACCACCCAATTTGTATCTTATATGCAATATCCCCATCAATTTTTCCATCATGTTGAATAATAGCTCCTAAATATATGAACTTTTTCACTTGAAATATAATCTAATATCTCAATTTTACTTTCAAATTACTACTAACCGACTTCTTATTAAAATTAAAATGTAAATATTCTGTCTTACTCCTACTCAGACAGAATTCTAATGTCCTCCTCCATAACTTAACTTTATAGTTAAGTTATTCTTTTATCTCCGCAATAAAAACCATATTATCTATGAAAAGTGCATAGGATCTTGAGTTATGGAGGATTATAATGGAACAAAGCTAACCTTCATTCCATTATAATCTGTAGTGAAGCCATGATCTTGAGTCGGGGCAAATTCATTTAAATATTCATAATTGAAAAAAAAATTAATTAATAACTACACATCTTATAAATTTTCTCTAAATGGTTTTATGATTTGGAATCATCAAAGAATTAACTATTAGGATGCAGACGACCCATGTCAAATTAGATTTTCCCCCTTATTTTTAAAGGATTAATAAATAACATTAGTATTTAGATATAGTGAAATTATGGGCTAATATTTATTGGGCTTTGAGTTAAAATTGAATTTTGAATATGTCTAAAAGGTAAGATTGAATTGGCTTTAAATTTTAAAAATATTAAAATAAAAAGGTGCAAAGCATAAAAAGGAGATTGTGCAAGCTGCAAAGTATAAAGTTATACCCTTATATATGTCCTTTTTCCCAAGTGAGGGGGGTTCCCCCTACATGTGACTAGGCCAATAATTATAAGAGTTGTTTGAAATTATTTTTATTTTGTTATTTTGAGAACTGATATTTTGTAAAATATATTCTGAAAACAAAAAAATAATGAAAATAAGTATTTTTTTTTATTTTTTTATTTTCTAGAGCAATAATTCTAAAATATTTAAAAGTTATTTTATTTTTTTATTCTCTAAAATAATGTTTTATTTTTTTATTTTTTAAAATGTTTTCTGAAAACACGTTATTAAACAAATTTTTTTATTTTTTTATTTTAAAAAACAAAAAATTATTCTCAAAACAAATTGTCAAATAGGCTCATATTGGTTTTTTATACTATAACATAAGTGGTCTATCGACTCACTTAACTTACATCATACTATAACAAAAAATACTAGGGCAAAATGGTCCACCCACCCATTTCATAAAATTACACTAGAAATTCCAAACATTCCTATACAATAAAGCCTACGCTCCACATCCAAAAAGCATGCACGGTAGCCACAACAAACAACACAATCTTATGTCTCTTCAACCTCTCAATTTCTTATTTTAAGTGCTCTTTATCTTCCGTTCTTGTGTTCATTGTCTTGCTTCAAATGATGTTTCTCCTCCTTTATGTGCTCATTTTGTTGCTTCAAGTGTTGTTTCTCTTCTTTAATGTGTTCATTCTAATGCTCCAAAGATTGTTTCTCTTCTTTGATGTGCTTAGGAACTAGACCATCTATGATCTAACCAATCAAAATAGTTGCAACACCAAGCCTTTGCAAAATTTACCAACAAAAAACAAAAGCACAGAGTTTCAAATCTCCAAACCAATATGAAAACCAATTCAATCAAAATCAACAAAATTATATTAAAATAATCAAATCAATACTGTAAAGATTGGGTGATAATATGTTAAAGTTCAAGAATTAGTTTACAATTGAGTTAAAACGATAAAAATTAAATAATTAACTTTATCTTATTTTTATATTTACAAGGCAATACATTACTCATTTTATACGTTGATATTTATATTGAAATTTAATTAAAAGTAGCAAAAAATTTTAACCAATGGCGCGTTTATACAGATATAAGCATGCAGTTTCCCAATGCAGTGGTTATCGCTTATCAATGAGTCGATTTCATCCAAAATTACAGCCAATAAAGAAAATCGTCAAAAATCGTATCAAAAAGTTTAATATTTTAGCTCCTTCCTTGATCAATCCCATCTTCCAGCATTGGTGCGTTCAACTTTCAATATTCAAATTCCATTTCCACATTCCTTTTCCACTCCCTTTATATTCCCCCTCATATCCATACCGCCTCTTACCAGCCTCACTCTTCTTCCGTTCTCTTTGTTTAATCTTCCAATTCAATTCTCTCCATGTCCTGAAAATGCTTGAGAATTGTCAAGCGTCTTTGATCACTACCTCCTGAAAATGGTGGACGAGAACCTCAGAGAATTCATTCTTTGGATTGATAGAAACGAATGCTAATTATTCTCCAATACTGTCTTTTCATGTTGATAAGGGACTGAATTGTAATTAATATGCTATTGTCAATGGTCTGCTAGATGTGATGGGCTTCTTAAATTTTATCTTTTGAGAAGTTGAAACTAGTTCTTGGCTTCTTTGGCTTCAATATTGGCTCCATCTTCTCATCCAAAAGTGATCCTGGGTTCATTTGCCTTTTTAATCTTCTGGGTGTTAGCAGTTTTCCCTACTGTGCCTTTCCTTCCCATAGGCAGAACTGCTGGGTCCCTCTTGGGTGCTACGCTTATGGTCATCTTTCGCGTTCTATCTCCTAAACAAGCTTTAATTCTTATGAGTGCATATCTTGAGAGAGCAGACATGTTCAAGTACTTGGGCAAGCTACTGTCATGGAAAAGTAAAGGGGCCAGAGACTTGCTTTGTAGAATCTGTTTGATTTCTGCTATCTTAAGTGCTCTCTTCACCAATGACACCTCTTGTGTTGTTTTGACTGAATTTGTATTGAAAGTTGCAAGGCAGCATAATTTGCCTCCCCATCCATTACTCCTGGCCCTTGCTTCAAGTGCTAATATTGGGTCCTCTACAACCCCAATAGGGAATCCCCAGAATCTAGTTATAGCTGTTGAGAGTGGCATATCATTTGGTGAATTCTTGATGGGGATTCTTCCTGCTATGCGTGTGGGGATTTTTGTGAATGCTTTAATTCTTATGTCCATGCATTGGAAGTTATTGTCTGCTCAAAAGGATGAAGACAATGCCGCCGTAGAAATTGTAACAGAAGAGGTCAATTATTATGGGTTTTCTCACTTGTTCAACTTTCAAGAATTGAACTATTTAGGATCTGCAAGAAATTCAAATGAGTTAAATGATGAAATGAGTGGCATGACTTCAAAGACAAGGGAGGCAAACAGTCATTCAGAGGCTGTTGCGATCAGATGGACCAAACGATACTAACTTTTTCGAAGGAGATGACCTTTTAAACCCGAGATTGAAAGCCATACTCTGGAAAGCTTGGGTTCACATTATCACATTGGGAATGTTAGTTGCTCTGCTTTTGGAATGAACATGTCATGGACTGCAATTACTGCTGCACTTGCTTTGATCGTTCTTGATTTCAAGGATGCTAGGCCAAGCTTAGAGAAGGCAAAGGCTATAACTAGCAAGAAACACGAGCTGCACTCTATTCTGTTGCCTCCTGAATAATTGCTGAGAACTAATTTTACCCCTTGGAGCAGGTTTCATATTCACTTTTGATATTCTTCTGTGGAATGTTTATGACAGGAGATGGCTTCAATAAAACCGGAATTCCAAGTGTTTTCTGGGACCATATGGAGCCCCATGCTAAATTTGATAATGCTAGTGG